TTAAAAAGCACATTGAGCCCTTCTCTTGCTGCTTTCGTAACTCAGTTTTATAGCAGTTAAACAGAATGAAGAGTATCAGTCTGCAAACAGCTTGTGTATCAGTTTAATTAAATTTCCCTTGCATGCCTGTGCATAAGTCACCCAGCATACACTGTATCAGTATCTATGCTAAAACACGATCTAGCATTACGAAACTTTCAATTCACATACAGAATGACAAAGCTGTGTGTTATTTCAGAAGTTAATTATTTCTACTTCTTGTTGGATCATGCTTCTATAGACCAGCTTTAGACCAAGGGCGTTGTTAGACAAATGGCTTATATTAAACTGTCTTTTCTATCAGTAAACAGGAGCTCTCAGAAGCAAGGAGGAAACAGTGGTGGGCTAAAGGAGGATCTAGGCCCTGTATCTGTAGAAGGATTTTCAGACTAATTAAGATTTTTGATATTGAGCCAATAAGATTAGTTGCAGATATACAAAAATACAGCTTGAACTTTTCACCCACATGCTTCTAAAGGCATATATATCCACACAGATGCAGACTGACATAGGTTTCAGCCAGATCAGGCAAAAGCCATCTCTTGTTTGGAGGCTGTACAGTGATATGTACTCACGTGGTGGTATTTTCAACATCATCCCAATTCTCAGGAAATAAAAGCGCCAGTCTGTCTACAGACAGCCTGGACACAGGATTTTAGATTTATCTTAAGTAAGATCAGGGTGCAGTAGTCACTGAAGAAACCAAAAGGACCTACAGGTCTTTTGAAATCAGTTTCACCCACATGAGCAGTTCACAGTGCAACACCCTCCATCTGGACAAGAGCAGGAATAAAGAATTAGTAAGTCTTTTTAATGGGTATACAGATGTGAATACAAATCTCTTCTGGCAACTGCCTAATAAACACTGAATCACAGGAAAGCCTACCATTTACAACAAGACAACAGACAACCAAAGCCTTTGGAAAGAGCAGATAAGGTCATTAGTCCTTCTTTCTGTCCCACAGTCTTTAATAATCTTCATGGTCTACATTTTTTCCTTGTCCGATTTACTGCAGTGCTACCTATACTGTTATTCTACTCCATTTTGCTTCATTTTTGTCATACTAGGTAGGACACCGAGGCCTAGTAAAAAGTTATTTTTAATGACAATTCAAGCCACTAGAACAGCGATCAACCTTCAGGCTGCATAGGCAAAAACAGGCTCTTGAACATCCCAAAAACGCCCTATCGATAGCACCAGGTAGTCACTGCACTTAAGCAAGATCAGGACATCAGAGGAAAACAGTCACTCTGCAGCCTTCCTGGTTAGCCACCCACAACTGCTACATAATTTCTATTAAAATCCAGGCACCCAACATGTTTCTAGGCTATTTCTCTCTCAAGTTGTTGGGGCAAAACTGACATGTTTAATTCCTTACTATATACTTCAATAGTAGTTACACATCTTGCAATCTAGACAAGTTATTAGTAAGGACAAGGCTGCTTGTGTTACAACTAAATGAAGTGTCCAACATAGTCCTTAAGACAGCTAGTTTTTATACTCAAATAATGTCTATCTCACCAAGTTGGTTATATGTAGCTAGAAAAACTGGTGTATTTTTTTATATAAGTATGCAAAGCCTGGAGATGAACAATTTGTAAGGTTTAAAATAACCTGTTGATATACTGGTTGATTTAGCTGTTACTCAATTACCTGCTCAAGCACTAAGAGAACTGAGTTTTCTCTAACAAATTAATACTTCTCCAGTAGTAGATGAGCTGCTTTTAATATTTAAAATCTGAGAGAAAAATTCCATGACCTCTTCTGATAAAAGAGCATCTGAGTTAGGAAAAACAAAACAACCCTATTAAAAGTGTTGACACCAATCTGGGTTGTTTTAACAGAGCTTGGCTAGGAATTAAATACACATACCAGCAAGCCTCAGTTGCAACTTCTGGTGGTAAGGTGGTAACGAGTAGTTGGGCACAGCACACTTTCAATCTAGCAGAGCTACAGCCGCACTCCAACAATAGCCTTAGAGTTAAGCTCTTAATCCTCTTACTACATTGAACTATTTATCTGTGAAAATTTCTTCTGCTAGAGCAAAATACAAATGTTTTACTATCCTATTTAGTTTCAATACTGCATATCTGTACTTTCTACTAGCATTTAGTCTTGGTTTTTATACAACACATCAACCTAGGAAGGGCCACAAACGGTGTTTCATATTTTCAATATATGGTTTCCATTTAATTCTTTGTGAACTTTAAGGCATTGTACTCATCACTGGGGATGCAGACTACAGCCATATTGACATCTACAATCTTTACTTAACTTTCATGGCAACAACTTGAAACAAAAGCAATATAAGAAAGTACCCAATGCACAATCACTGAGTATCTGAAACAAGTGACTAATGAGTGGAATCAGCAAGTGTGTACATCATGCAGATAAACACAAGAGAATATTTCAAGTCCACAGCATCACATCTGCAAGTTCCATTTCCTGAAACATGTGTTTATGTACCTTTAATGGGAATGTGAAGGAATTCCTGTAACCTCTCCAGCAGAATACATAAGTCATGATCAGTCTTTCTTTCTAGAACCAAGTTATATTCTGCGTCACTCATAACAGCAATATTGGTTTAGTTACCAAGCCAGAACTAAAAGTTCACAAAGACTATACATACATCTGACCGATTTTGCCTACTTTGTTCATTAGATAAAGCTTGTCAAAGCTAGTAATTTGTTTAAGTTATGTGGATAACTTTGTCTCCAAGTAAAAACCACCAACAAAAACCCAAACCAATATTTCTGCATTTTAGTAATGTGTTTAAATGCATTTGCTTTCAAGCATTTTCCCCACACCGATTTTGTTCACATGCACTGTCATTTTTGCCACTGAAAAATTATCAAACTTAAGTGTAGTACATACTTAAAATGATTGTCTAGGGGGTAAACCTAAAGTACTTAGCAGACACACCATTTTGTTAAACTAAAAACAAGCATAATTTCAATGCATTTTGTTTCCTGTTCTTTGTTTAGCTAAGGTTATATTTAGGTGATAAGCAGTTGACAGTGGGACAGAATAATGAGTGGTGTGAAACAGGGCACTGATGATGTTAAAAACTTTCCAGGTCACCATTTGCTGTACTGCACCACCAAAACAGCATTTTAAAATTGGGATTGTTCATGTATCTTGCAGGTTGGGCTTAACATTCAGACTTTTTTAGAGAAAATGGAAGTTGCTTCAACAGGTAAAAGGGGAAATGGTAAGGCTAATTATATTTTTCAAGCCACAACTCTTCAGGAAATGATCTGTGTCATTCCCCATTCCTGTGGTTTTATAATGATGATCCAAGAACACTCACAGAAAACAAAGTTGCACCCTGAGATGATTTGGCAAGTACTTTTCTGCTTATGCCAGCTATTGTTCTAATAACAGACAACCTGCAGGGGCCCTGGTTAGCTCAAGTTGAAAAAACACTGCAGAAGAACAGTTAGTGAAATCCTTAAATTACAGCTTTTCATGTGTGGTAAGAAGTAGATTATAGGCCTAAAGGATTTATGGGATGTGAATGAAAGTCACTTGAGCTGGGAGAAGACAGGTGAAAAAAAGATGACTAAAGATCTACCAAGCCAGATGAGCAATACCCTAAATGCTAAACAGGGAGGCCAGTGAAACGCAGAAAAAATTCTGAGCTGTAGCCATTAGACTCATATGGAAACCATTAGTTATATTTTTACTGAATCAGGGGAAGCCCTAGGTAAGCATATTAAAGATGAGTCAGAGGAGTGGCTCTGAATTGAAGCAATTTCTAAATTAAAGATCCCAAAAGAAAATCATATCAAATACCACAGGCTGAACTTTGGATGAAGTACAGAATAAATAGCAAGACATTTGTTTCCACTTGGAATTAAAATGGCATTCAGGCTTACTCTAGTCCTTTCTTCTAGTTTCTTTTAACCATTGCTATCAAACAATTTGGCTTAAGAAACACAAAACATCATAGATCTAAATAACTGCTTAAACAGCTCCAATGCAGTTCATTGGGTACATACAGTCAAAAACCTGCCTCCCACAGGAAGCTGGCATCAGTAATTCCCCTTCCACTACTCCACAGTGCTTCTCAAAAGAGCAGTTGCAAACTATTCACATATTAGACTGACAGCTTATATTTCCTAGGACAGCATTTCTTCTACATGTATCCAAGGAACTATTACACAGAGAAGCCAAACACAGCTTTTTTCAAAAAAGCTGATTTTGTTAAACCTGAAACAAAGCTATATGGAATCTTCATGCTATAATGAAACAAAATATAAAATGTCTAAAATTGAGAAACACATGGCTATTGCTGCAGCAGTTTATATAATCTCTAGTTAAAAAGCACTTATGAAAAAGTTGCAAGTGACTTCAAATAGTATTACTGTTAAGTCTATTTTTTTTACCTCCAGTAAGCAATCAAGCCTCCTGAATGTTCATACCGAAGTTATGTCCCATTCATTAAGACTAGTAGCCAGGTTATCTTTCAGGGAAAGTGGTAAGGTCACTATGACCGCATTAGGTCTCAGCTAATCATTTGCTTTAACCACCCTATGATTATTTTATCCTATGCCCTGTAATTATGTTCTTGTATCCTCCGCCTGCATTTCTTGCCAAATTTTATGAAGTACTAAATAATCACTTGTCACTGCATAGAGCATCTGACCAGAATGAATGACCTAAATAATACTTTCTGCTACCCCAAATAAACATGTATTGTTTGAAGTTTTAATATTAATAATGACTAAAAAAGCAAATATACACAGTTTATAAATTGACCAGTTTTCTTAGAAAAGACTTTAGTTACACCTCAAAACTCACAGCTAATAAAAACTTTAAAATACTTTCCACATCAGTCAGAAAATTCAGAAACAGTTTCATAATCACAAAAGTAAAAACAAAGTTCTAGATAAAACAAGCTGTACAGATAAAGGGAACTGAAGAACAACAGAAGTCTAGTACTTCATTTAAAAAAGTTTTTTAATATAAATCTGAATACAAAAATAATCAAGACACTCTACAGTCATCTCAAATCCTCAAGGTTTTCTCTTATCAATTCCCTGACAATTTGGCCAGTGCTTGTTTTCTCTGTTCTGCAGTCATATACTCACAGGCTTCCAAAATATTTACTATAATTAAAGTCTGTTGAACTGTTTTAGCTTTTACCCATATTCTTCCATTCATTCCCAGCACCAGCTCAAATGGGTACAATTGTGACAACTCCTGAATTATTTCACATTTGGGAGCCAAGAGTCTGTAAACAAGATTAAAAAAGTCAGAGGAAGTAGAAGTGGTCACATTTGACAGACACCACATTATCATCAACCAATAACTAAACTGCAGTACTGGCATTATGGGAGATAATAGAGTAACACCAAAAGGTAAGATGATCAAATTGCATAATCATCTAAAATAACAATACAGTATCAGATATTTAATTCTCCTTTCAAAACATATGCACCTAAAAAAATATATCATTCATGAACTTAGTTTTTTCCTAATTAGATTCAGAAGCAATACCTGACAAATTTAAAGTGAACAGATACTTTTATATCAACTCTATAATTTAATAAATTCTAGAACTACACTGTTTGACAAAGTGACATTTTTAAAGTGCTGCTATGCATAAATTTGACACCAGAGTTAAAGATATGTCTTTCAAAACACAACTTCCCTCCTCCTTTGGGAGAAACTATTAACAGCAGTAAATATAGAATACTGTTTCTATTAGGTGACAGCATACTGGAAAATGAAATATCAAGAATATTATCATACATCTAGGATTAAATCTACCTTCAACAACCTTTCTCAAAGAAAAATATATCAGGATTTCACAGTTTACTTGTAATATACTGTTATTTATTTAATTGCATACAGACAAACTTAGGAAAACAAGTAGAATGGTCAAAAAAAATTTTATTACTTCACACTGACTTCTCATAGGACATGTAAACCAGACAAATCATTACTTAAACCCAGGTATGAAATAGCTGCTTTGCATCTCCAGATTACTTTGCCAAAGAAAACCAGAAGAACCCACCCAAAAGCAACAACAAAGCTTGACTATTATTTATCCATATAAGCTAGTCTTCTTTGATAGTCACAAAAAAATCTGGTATTTGCATCAGCATAAGTAACTCCAAAGCTCACAATTTAAAAGCTTATGGAAAGGTCCCTGAATTAACACGTCAGTTTTACATCAAAATCCCACAATTTAAGCTCTATCCTTATTTTAATAATTTATTTTTCTTGGGAGGTCAGAAAATTACGTGTATTGATGTGGAAAGACCCCTTTAATTAGCTGTCAGTCAAATGTACATCTCCTACTATCCCATGAAGCAGAAAAAGAACAGTAAGCATTTCCAATTTTTAAACTCCAAGGTAGTAGGTACATACCTGAAACCCCAGCTTGAACATTTGATTTCCCCCAGTCAACGGTTTTGTTTTCCATACTGCCTTGGCAACCACATCATCTTTTTTAAACAGGTCACACAACACCATATAGAAGAACATCTAAATCTCTTAAGGCAAAAATACATACTCCTTCTAGTTCAATATCCACACTCTATTCAGTAAAACTGGTATAAGTGCACTAAAATAACAATACACTCTGATAATCAAAGTTGTCCACACTGTTCAAAGGAAATAGTAGGGCAAATCCCACCCACCACATTACCTGTTAGAGTGACTACTTTTTTTAGTACTTACTTTCTTATTAGACCCAAGGAAACTTTGAAGAGGAAACCATCTTGTCCAATTATTCCCATTCCACTTGATCTTCCACTGCTGTCTATACAGACCATCTCTGGTTCCATGTCTTTATTTGCTACAAGGAACTGACCATAAATAAGATCTCCCACCTAAACAAAGCAGTGACAAAAGCCAAAGTATTACAGAAGATCATGCTGCATATTTGTAATAAATACTCAGTTGATAAAGACCCTCCCATGAGGCCACTTTTCAAAATACTGGTGACAAAAATAAACTGGTATAATAGGAATTCTCATTTTCTCATCTTCTACTAGAGGAAACATCCACTAGGAACAATTATCTTGCATCACTACTAGAATTTGAACGATACAAAAAAAGTACAAAATTTTATTTCAAGTTGTATTCTTCTTTTCCTTTTTAAATACTAAATATAAATTTTTCTTTATTTAAGGGTATTAAAAGTCTAACCAACCTGCTCTTATAATCATTTATCAGGAAAACAAAAAACTCACACTAACCTATTTTGTTTTTCTTTACCATCCATTTATACATTCTGGTGATGGTAAGTCAGTTGAATACAGAAGCTATGGCATGCATGTGCCACAAGTGTTTAGAACAGCGTTATTAGAAAAAACAATTGTTTTCTACCAGTACCAGATAGTGTAAAACCTGGTTTTAAAACTTTAACTTCAAAGTGCTCCCTTAGATCTACATTGCTTATGAACTGCTGACAGTATTATGGGAAAGTTAAACTGTAAGGAGTGAAAAAGCCTGCCATCTGACAGATATGAAATCACACTAGTTACATGTTAAGAAATCTCAGAAAGCCCCCAGCCTAATCGTGCAAAAACCTCTAAGAAGGGCCACGGCAAAACCACTGCAAATAAACCTGCACTACTCCTCTTACACGCAGCTTATAAAAATACCTTTTACTAAGAAAAAGTACTAAGACATAAAAGAAGCACCAAACGACAACGCTAAAGCGTTACCTCCAATAAACAAAAGTATTACCTGTACATTTGGCCTGTTCCTCTTCGTGGCCCCTTCAAAGGCCAAGTAGGACAGAGACGCTTGCTCGCTCCCACCGACGTCCAGCTTAAACACGTCTCCCGCTTTGGCCGTCACTATGCCTATGACGTGGTCGCCCTTGACCGGAACATACTGCAAAGGGGGTTCGTGAACACGCAGGTGAGGCAAGTGGCGACAAGACAGGGCCTCCCTCCCCGCTCCCAACCCGGTCCCTCCG